TGACAATTTAAGAAAAAGAAAGTGCCAGATAATTGCTTTACAAGAAACACACATCTCCCATAAACATGTTGCGTATCTGGAAAACAAAAAATTAGGCAAAGTATATTACGCTTCGACATCAGAAAAAAAACGGGGAGTAGCAACATATATAAAAGAGGAAATAAAATCAGAATTAGCCTTTAGAGATTTGGAGGGAAGAATGCTGGGGGTCCTTATTAATTGGCAAAACTCTAAAATACTGGTTTGTAATGTGTATATGCCTAATGAGGCAAAATCAAAATTTCTTAAAGTCTTAGAAGCAAATATAATAAAACAAGAATTTGACAAAATAATAATTCTAGGAGACTTTAATTGTGTCTTGGATGGGAAAAAAGACAAAACAACCAGAGCCCAGAACACAAAAAAAACTGAAAAAGAGAAGAAAACAGTAGGAAACATCCCAAAAACTCTATTAAGTTTAGTACAAGACATGAATATGAAAGACGTCTGGAGACACAACAATGAGGAGGGAAGGGATTACACGTATTTCTCGGCCAGACATAAGTCTTGGTCAAGAATTGATATGATATGGGCATCGGCTTCTCTCCTACCTAAGGTGAAAAGTATTAAAATTCTAGCAAGGACAGACTCAGATCATTGCCCACTGGAAATGAAAATTGGAGAAGGAAGAAAGGATTGGAGATGGAAACTAGAAGATAATTTATTATTAAAAGATGAAGATATCGAGAAATGTAAAGGAAAATTGAAGGAATATTTCGAAGAAAACGATACAGAAGACATAAGAATATTTACCTTATGGGAGGCAAGCAAAGCTGTCATGCGCGGCTTCTTTATACAACAAAAAGCAAGGAAAAAGAAGGAAAAACTACAAAAACATAAGGAAATAATTGATAAAATAGAGATGGAAGAAAAGAAGCTGAAGAAGAATCCAAAAAATAAGAAAGTATTAGAAAACATTATAAAGTGGAAGAAAGAGAAAGAATATTTAGAGCTAGAGGAGAAAGCCAAAAACTTGGGATATATAAAGGCTGACTATTTCCAAAATGCCAACAAGCCAGGGATCTGGCTTGCAAGAAGATTGAGAAAGAAGAGAGAATCGAGAATTATAACAAGGTTAAGGACAAAAGAAAAGATAATAATCGAAGAAGGTGAGATAAGAAAGCACTTTGAAGACTATTATAGGATGTTATACCAAGATGAACAAATAAAAAATGAAAAGATTATGAATTATTTAGCTAAGAGAAAAATCCAAAAGATTTCAGAAAAAGAAAGAGAGGCATTACATAGAGAGATATCTGAGGTGGAAATACAAATAGCTATAAGAAATTTAAGAACAAATAAAGCACCAGGACCAGATGGGTTCTCAGCAATATATTATAAGAAAATGCAGAAAGAAATAACACCATTTCTAAAAAAAGTAATGAACGAAATAAGAGAAATTAAAGAAATACCACCCACCTGGAAACAAGCCAATATCTGCGTGATACCGAAAGAAAATAAAGACCCCGAGGAAATAGAAAATTATAGACCAATCTCACTGTTAAATTTAGATTATAAATTGTTCAGTTATATATTAGCAAACAGATTCAAAAAAATTTTGGTAAATTGGATTAAGGAAGAGCAGGCGGGTTTTTTACCGGGCAGAAATCAAAGCGAAAATGTGAGAACCATATTAGATCTTATCGAATATTATGAGAAAAACATACAAAAAGAGGTGATGTTCCTCGCAATTGACGCAGAAAAGGCGTTCGATAGAATAAACTGGAACTTTTTCAAATTACTATTTAAGGAAATGGATTTGGGTTTTTATGTAACAAATTCAATTGAGGGAATATACAAAACACAATTCGCAAAAATAATAGTAAATGGTCAAGAAAGCAAAGAAATTGAAATAAGAAAGGGAACGAGACAAGGCTGCCCGCTCTCGCCTTTGTTATTTATATTAACTCTAGAAGTATTGCTAAATAGTATAAGAGAGAATGCAGAGTTAAGGGGGGCAAGGATAAATGGATACTCATATAAATGTAGGGCATTTGCTGATGACCTAATCTGCATTATTGAAGAACCAAATAAAGATTTAAACAAATGGCTGGAAACAATTGAAGAATTTGGAAAAGTTGCGGGCTTTAAATTAAATATAGAAAAAACAGAAGCAATAACAAAAAATATCCTGAAGAACAAATTAGAAAAATTGAAGGAACACAATAAGATAAAAATTGTTCAAAAACTTAAATATCTAGGAATTATAATAACAGCAAAAAATTCACAACTCTTACAAAACAACTATATAAGACTCTGGAAGGAGATAAAAAAAGATCTGGAAAAATGGAAGTATCTGAAAATTTCACTATTGGGGAGAATTTCCTACATAAAAATGAATGTCCTCCCAAGGATGTTATTCCTGTTCCAAAATTTGCCTATTATCAGAAATCAAAGAAACATAAAAGAATGGAATAAAGACATCAGGAAATTTATCTGGCTGGGTAAAAAACCAAGGATAAATTATAAGAATCTAACGGATGACAGAGAACGGGGAGGATTGGCATTACCCGATCTGGGGTTATACGCAGAAGCTTGCGCATTAGCTTGGGCAGCAGATTGGATTAGATTAAAGAAAGAAAAAAATTTAAATTTGGAAAGCTTCGATCTCCGTAGGGGGTGGCATGCTTATTTGGGATATGAGAAAGTCAAAATAGAGAAAAATTTCGGAAATCATTTTATAAGAGCGGCAATCATGAGAACCTGGAACAAATACAAAAAGCGGATGTACAGTAAAACACCRATATGGCTTTCCCCTCTAGAATCATGCCAAAGAAAAGAACTAGGCTGGATTAAATGGCCCTGTTACAAAGAACTAATAAGAGAAGAAAAAAAGGAAACAATCTTAAAACCAATATCAGAAATAAAAATAGCCTACCCGAATACGACCTGGCTTCAATATAGACAAATACAAGAATTCTTTGGAAAGGACAAGAAAATTGGATTTGAAAAAGAAGGGAACAAATGGGATAGAATATGGGAATCAGATAAGAAAAAAGTAGCCAAAATATATAAAGGTCTACTCCAGTGGAGCACTGAAGAAGAAGAAGTTAAGGATTGTATGGTGAAGTGGGCGAGAAATATAGGAAGAACAATTGGAACAGAAGAATGGGAGACGATCTGGAAGAAAAAATTAAAGTACTTAAAGGCATATGACATGAGAGAAAACTGGTTTAAAATCTACTTCAGATGGTATATGACACCCGCCAAAATAAATAAATACTACAAAAAAGCAAATTCAAATTGTTGGAAATGTGAAGCAGTAGAGGGAACGATGTTCCACATGTGGTGGCAATGTAAGAGAACGAGAAGATATTGGTTGGAACTTCAAAAAATACTGCAAAAATTACTGAAAATTAAAATCCCCCTAAAAGCAGAAATATTTTTATTAGGCATTATAACAAACTTAGAAATGGATAAAAACGAAGAGAAATTACTATTTCTAGCAACAACAGCGGCCAGAATGTGTTTCGCTAAATTATGGAGAAAAAAAGAAATTCCTAGCCTAGAAGAGTGGAAAAGAAAAATGTTGGAAGTAAGAAACATGGATAGACTGAGCTTCATTATGCAAAGAAACAAAGGAATAATGGAAACTGAAACAGACTGGACAAAATTTAAAGAATACTTAAATTTATATAATTAAATCAAAGAGCAAAGAAAAGATAAAGATGGACAAGGAGAAGGACAGAAATTATCATACCAGTCGACTAAGGAGGCGGAGAAATAGAAAGACGAAGGAAGAGGAAAGGAAAGAAAAGGATAAGACCTCCCTGAAGACGAATCCTGGAAGTCAAGTGATTGAAGAAGGAAATACCTTGTAGCTTTTCTTTTAACTGTCACTTTCATTGCACTCTTATATCTTTTTTCTATCTCCTTATTCTTTCCTACTCTACCTTCCTACACGGCCCCACACCCCTTCCTTGTCCCTACTTCTCTCTTTCCCTTCTTCTCTCTTTCCCTATCTATACTTCTGGACTTTCTTATTCCAATATTTCAATTGTTTGTATATATAGGAAAACTGCAATAAATATATTTATAAAAAAAAACTGGAAGAACCTTGTTTCTGCAGGACATCCTACAGCACATTTTGCTCTAGTTTTTCAATGAATATCTCATAGAGTCTCCACCAATTCAACATAGTTTGTGCCAACCACAAAAATGAAGTTTCTAGAGTATAATAACTAATTGCAAAGTAAGAACCACACAATTAAACAGGAAATAACACTTTCAAACCAGGAACAGATTTTTTTCAGTTGTTATATAGTGTATTGATCAAGAGACTTAGATTGTGGATCAGGACATTCCCAGTTGGATTCTGCTGTTAGCTGAGTAGGTAGCCCATTGCGCCTTGCAGTATGGAGTAAAATAATATCCATTTACCTTGCTGTAGGGGTAGGAATCATGCAGCTTTTAGGTTGGGCTGCAAGTCCCAAGAATCTTTGCCTAAGCAACTATGAAAAATATTGGGATCTATAGCCCAAGCCCAACCACTGGAGGACTTCCTGGTTTTCACACTTGCTTTACATGATGGTTATAAGAATAGGTGTCAGATCGTTCTTTACACCATTGAACACACAATACAAATAAGCATGACTGGTCTTTGGATCACTTAGGCATGGGCAAACTTCAGTCCTCCAGGTGTATTGGACTTCAACTTCCACAATTCCTAACAGCCTGAGGGAATGTTTATGCATCATTAAACTGGTTGTTTATTAGCATCATTCTTCAATTATCAGAAAGATTCAATAGCTGTTGGATAATCATTCTGCAAGTAGTTATCTCCTCAACAAAACAACTATCTAGAGCTTGGGAAAAATTACTTTTCCCAGAATCCTTTGGTCATATGACCACTGGTTCTGAGAGCTGCAGTACAAAAGGTAACTTTCCCAAGCTTTGGCAACTTGCACTGGCATTTTGACCATATCCTTGTTTTTTCATCAACTTTTCACAATGTTTTACAGAGTGAGCATCCTGGTCGGAGCGCCTAAAGCCAACACAACGCAGCCAGACATAGTGGAAGGAGGAGCGGTCTACCATTGCCCTTGGCCTGCTTCCGAGTGTAAACAGATCCCATTTGATGGTACAAGTAAGTGGATGAGCTCTTGTTTGCTGTCTGCATGGGATGTTCTGGTGAGATTGCTCAGTCATGGGAGCTGCTTGGATGCTTTCTCCATTGGTGTCAGTTTGCCTGATCTTATGTCTGCAACTCCCAAGAGGAAATGCCAGCTTTGAATGTTTGTATTCCAACACTTTGTGTTCACTATCCTCAGGAAAATAACAGTGATATATATTCAAATGCCCTGCTCAGATCTTGTAAACTCTGTGTTGTGGTTTCTTGATTGAGTCTTCTCATCTGGATTGCAATCTTCCTCTTTTCCTATTACGTTACCAATTATTATCGCCTTTTCTAGTGAGTCGTGTCTTCTCATGATATGTCCAAAATTTGAGTGATTTCTTCTTCCAAAATTCTGAGTGCAGCTCCCATTTTTAAAACTGAAGGTTTGTCTTGTTATGGTTTTCTCTCTTTTATATAGTCATTTTTTATTGTCACAATTTTTATCACTTCTTGATCATATTTTGTGTTCCCTTGCTGGTTGTAGAGCATCCCCACTCTTGGTTTAAATTTCCCTTTGATTTTTTCAGATCTTGTGGAAGATGTCTCCTGTTGTCCCCTTCTATTTCTCTCCATTGATTATTATAGTAGTTCTCTTTGTCCTAGCACACAAGTTGTTAAACAGCTTCATTCAGGGTTCTGACCTTATTTTGGTCAACTTTTACTTTTGCTTCATGTCTGTTCTTAGCTCCTTGAAGAATTTCATCTATCATCCATTGAGTTGTCGCTTTCAGTTTTGGCTACACCTTCAATTAAATGCTACACCTTAACTAAGATGCCTGTTGGGGCTCAGCAGCAAGATGCTGGGGATTTCTCAGAGGACGAGGGGGGTGATGGGTTTCCCACTGAGGAGTCTGTGTGTGATCAGAGTGAATTGCAGACTTTAGATCAGAGAGAAGTGTTGGCAATTGAAGTTGAGACAGAGGATGTTTGGGATTCCAATGTTCGTTCCTTAGTAACGGGGGGAAAGTCAGTTTCTCCTGGGGATCGACCTTCAGCAGAAGATAGGGAGTTTTCCCGTGATAACAGATTAGGCCTTCACACAGAGGGAGTGAAGGTATTTAGGGGTTCAGAAAGACCCCATGAAAAATCCTTGAGACCCAGGTGTCAAAGGCATGTCCTCGTGGCTTCTTGGTCAGGCCTGAGCTTAAATTAAGTGATTTTTACTTGATGTCTCCAGAGCAGACAACCTTGCCATAGATTCAAGTTTCCTGTGTTTGCCTATATTCCTGTAAGAGTTTTGCCTTGAAAAAGTTCCTGTTTTCATACTTATGGATTTATCCCTATGCTTTTGACTTCCTGGATTTCATGTACCTTGCTATTTTGGATACTGATCTTTGTATATATGGACTACTGCTATTTTATAGCACCCTTTCTACTGCTTTTTGTGGAATGCTTTTGTAAATAAACTGCTGTAGTTAGATACTACTGGACTCTGGTATAGCACTGGTTGAAAAGGTGTCCCAAGGTTAAAGTGCAACAATGTCTGGTGTTTTTTTTTTCTTATTCTGTGGTTACACTGAGGGTGTGTCTGGTTTTGAAGACAACCAGCTTTGAGTTTAAGGCAGCAAGTTCTTGTTTTCTTTCAAAAGTTGAAACCTGCTAAACAAATTGTCTGGTGTGTTCAGATTTATTTGCACAAAGCAAAAGATCTGCCATGTTCCTTATTCAATTATTCATAGAAAGGAAATACTTTATTTTAGAATAATGGAGGGTGTGTAGAAGCCAGTGTAAGAGTAATGTGGATTATATGCACTTCAAACCCCTTCTCCCACCCACCCCCTTTGACAGATGTTTTGCATTTAATTAAAGAGAAAACACATTTGAGACAATTCTGGCTGCTTATATTTATATTGTTTTCCCCTTACAGCCCTTGAAAAACATTTAATATTTATGTCTTTCTGAAACATTAAAATTGAAAGATTTTCATTTGGTTGGATTGGATCTTTAGACGAGAATGTTATGATTCATCAAGCTCAGTTTAAATTTTGTGATACATTTGTATTACTTCAGTATACACAGTCTGATTTCTACAAACAGTGGCTTGAAAAACATCCCTGGGAGGCAAAAATTGCCATAATGGTAAAATGATGCCTTTTGAATACACTGAAATCTCCTAGGAGAGATCTCTTTAAGGCATGCTTTTTGGCAAAGTTACTATACGTATCAGACTCCTTCAGCCAGAAATGTAATCCAAGAAAGTATATTCCCAAACTCTGCAAGTGAGGAGTTTGGAACTGAAATGTAGGCTCTGTCTACACTGCCATATAAAATACAGATCATCTGCTTTGAATTGGATTATATGAGTCTACACTGCCATATAACCCAGTTCAAAGAAGATAATCTGGATTTTATATGGCAGTATAGAAGGGACCTTAGACTAGGCTTTAGCATCACAGCCTTCCAGCTATACTATCAAGAAACAAGATATGAATCATGTTTCATCTATATTTATGGACCCTTCCACACAGCCATTAGGTAAAAAGGTAAAGGTTTCTGCTAGACATTAAGTCTAGTTGTGTCCAACTCTGGGGGTGGTGCTCATCTCCATTTCTAAGATGAAGAGCCAATGTTGTCCATAGACGCCTCCAAGTTCGTGTGGCCGGCATGACTGCGCTGTTATCTTCCCACCAAAGCAGTACCTATTGATCTACTCACTTTTGCATGCTTTCAAACTACTAAGTTGGCAGAAGCTGGGGCTAACATTTGGAGCTCACCCCACTCCCCGGATTCAAACCACCAACCTTTCTGTCAGCACATTCTGCAGCTCAGCAGGTTACACTGCTGAGCAGCTCAGCGGGTTACACCTGGGGCTCCACAGCCATATAACCCAGAAAATCAAGGCAAAAAATCTCAGAACATCTGCTTTGAACTGGATTATCCAAGTTCACACTGCCATATACTTCAGTTCAATGTGGATTTTATACAGCTGTGTGGAAGGGGCCCAAATAAGTGCTCTGAGATTCACTTGTCACAATATTTGGGCATATGTGTTTAAAATAAATAAGAAAAAAATGCTTGTGATGTGGTTCACCAGACTCACATGGGAAAACAGTGTGGTGGCACTGAACTGAATAGATCCATCCTTACATCATGGTCCCCTTGTTTCCCTAAAAAAAGATGAAAAGATGGGTATGAAAAAGGAAGGTGTGGAAATGAAATCCAATTGGCTTTCATTTTTTAAAAAGACAAAGACATGGTGTTGGGACACAGACATCTTAAAAGGCCAGACTCAGAATTAGTTCCATAGTAAAGTTTATTAAGCAAAGAAAAAGGGCTCAGAGACACTTAACTCAGCATCTCTGGCCAAACTCAAAAGCAGAAACCAGTCTTGGTTCAAAAGAGTTAACTGGAGCAATAATCTGGATTATCCAGAGAAAAGAACCGGATTAAAACAAAGTGCTCCACAAGTCCCCCAAAATATCACAGCAAATACACAGTTAACAAACACGAGGGCTGCAGGGAAGAAAGCGTAGTCAAACAAAGTCCGAAGGTCGAAGCAAGCCAAATTCAAAGTAGCGAAATCCCAAAGTAGTCAGTGTCGTAGTCAAACCGGTCCAAAGTCAAGGAAGGGAAAAGTCAGCACTTACGGGAATCCAAGCCAAGTCAAAAACACACACGAATGGAAGCAGTAACCTGTAGATCCAGGACCCAATACCAACACGAAATAGGCAGCAACAAGAATCTAATGAACGATCCAACACTTTGCCTTCTGCAAAGATTCCCCATTTCAGAGCCTACTTTTATCTTACACATCATCATCAGAAGATGAGCTGACCTCCACCCCATCGTTATCCCTTGCAGCTGTTCTTGATTCTACATGTGAACTCCTATTTCCATTCCTCCAACTTCTCCATCTTCTGTCAAGACTTAGGTCCCGTCCCCCCCCCCCAAGATTCAGCCGTATTCCCCGATTGCCAGTCCTCATTACCAGAAAACCCCATGAATGTATCACTGGACGTTAGCTCCGCACATACAGCTTGTACCTCTTTTACCTTAGTCCAGTCCAACATGTCATCTCCATCTTCATCACTCTCTAACCCATCACCCCCAGAAAAACCTAAGAATGACTCCTCATCTGTGGGCGCATTAAGTATCTCCCGGATTCTCTTCCTTTGTTGCTCCTCATCAGACTCCTGTTCCCGAGTAGTCCTTTTCCTTCCCTGAGACCAATCCATGATGCTTCCTTCCTCCTCCTCACTTGTTGACCCATTGTTCCCAGAGAAACCCAGGAATGATTCCTCATCTGTGGGAGCATTAAGTATATCCTGGATCTTCTTTCTTCGTTGCTCCTCATCAGACTCCTGCTCCCGAGTAACCCGTCTTCCCCTTCTAGTGTCCATCACTACTCGTAGGCTCTACTACAACACATGGGATTAGGACTAGTTCAAATATTGCAGGCATTTTATGGACTTGGAGTTTGTTACTATTGAACTCTGAGAATATTAAAACAGAGTATTGTCAGTCCGAACACCCAGAAATTCCTTCCTCAAAAGTAGCAAAATGCATTCTCTCTCTCTAATAATTTATTTTTGCACAAGGAAAGCTAACCTGTGATTAATGATCATTATGTAAGAAGAGATTACAGGCCACAGCTGCAGGCAAGGAGAAGATGTCTAGGATCATGATGAACCATATGACTTGCTTGGGTCTCCAATCTGGCTTGTCCTTAAACACTAAACACAGGGCTATTTTGACAGATTCTCACACTTATGGAGGAATTCCACCTCAAGTAAACTAGCTTTTTATGCTTTTTCTGAGAGCTATAATCTTACTGTTTGGGAAGACCGGACAGCACACTTGGATGTGTTCCTCGCTTCCGTTGCCAACAGTAACTATCCTACAATCAACAGACCAACAGTGGGAAAGAGCTGCATTTAGAAAAAAGGAGTAACAGTAATCCTGCTGTAAAATGTGCAGTACAGTAAAGACATCCATATTGGCTAGGTTTATGGGCACAGGATCCCAGCAAA